ATTCGAATTCGGCTCGATCGATAAGTCGAGCTACTCGAACTCGAGCTCGACTCGATAATAATCGAACCGAATTCAAATTTTTTTCGAATCAAATCTAAATAATTTATGAGTACTAATATATCATTTACACCTCTCATTATAATAGAGTTCATACGATTATTCTTCTTGAAGAAATTGAACTATAATAAGGTTTTGTTTAATTTTTGGCTCTACGGTGATTTCACCCGATAAGTCTTGAGAAGGTGAAAAGACAATAGCAGTGCTGGCTGGTTCTGTTTTAAGCATATACGTTTGTGCATTTTAATTAATGATACTTGTCATGTCAAAGGTATAAATGCATTGTTGTTAATGAATTAGATTGTTCCTTTCACTCAAGTGCTGGTGTTATTGAATTAGTTGATGGCACTCTGCCACTTGGAGAATATCTTATAGGAAAGTTAGTTGACTTGCAGGCACAGTCTTGTTGCTTTACCTACTAACTGTGAGATATTACATTGAACTTTAATGACTCAATATCATCAATTTTCAACAATAGAAACGGAGGTGCACATGGTCTCTATGGAATCGGGGACTGGTCATTTCTAAAATGCCGAGTAACACATGTCAAATGCAAGTTGCCTTTTTCTTCTGCTATTGCATAACAAAGAGTATTTTAATATTTGTCAGTTGTAAATTTTCTTATTAGCTTAGAATACGTGCTTAGCCCTTCTTCTCCGCTCTCTCTCTTTCGGGATCATCAATGGTTTTATTTTCGTTAACTGTAAGCCTTCTCCATTGAGAGAGGTGGATGAAAAAGAAAATCTACTTGATATTTATTTTTATTTGCTAACAAGAAAAAGACAAGCGCAAAGCCTTACAGGAAGTTTGTGAGAACTTCAGGTTTACATTTCAAAATTTAGTGCAACCCTTGTACCATAAAAATCCTCTAAAGTTGTTTGAATTATTATTTCTTATATATGCCACCCATCTCTACATCTTTTTTTTTTTTAAAGTAATCCGTGGTAATTTAATGAATTAGTTAATCAATTGTTTCTTTAAATTACTTATGGGAGCATATTTTCTGGATCTTTTGCTAGTATTGGTCAATATGAGAAAATTATTAGATCGAAAATATTTTCATGGTGAAAAGGTCATTAATATTCTAGCAATAATATTCTAGGTATTGCTAGTGATAATAACATCTTTGCTATCTAATTTGATGCAGTGGAGTCCCAAAAAGTTAAATAATTAATGGGTTTATTATTCTGGAATGGGTGTCTGCAGGCCTATATTACAACTGTCAAGAGTCAAATAAATTATTTTTTATATGTATATTTTTCAAATTGTTATTTTTTAATTATATATTGTAACTTTATTTAATTAATTCAGAAGCTCAAGTTGTATTTCACTGAAAAGTCCAAATTTAAAATTGAATTAAAGGTCAAATTTATTTAAATTAAAAATCTGAATTACCGATTCGATTTTATTTGAATTTATCTAAATCAATTTTATATTTTATTTATGCAAATTGAATATGGGTCGTAAAATACAAAACTCGAATAGATTAAATCGGATCATAAAAATTTAAAAATTCAAGTGGATCCGATTGATATCACCTATAACGGAAGGGAAGTGACTGCATTAATAATACAATATCGTAATAAATAGCATCATATACTGGTTGCTGCATTAATAACCTTAAATGTACAGTTTCGTAATAAATAGCGTCATATGCTGGCTGCTTCGGGATTGTTTGTTTTTGTTTTCGTTTTTTATTTTTTATTTTTGTTTACATTTTTTTAAAAATTAAAAACAAACACATGTTTTGTAGGTTTTCTTTTTCTGTTTTTGAAAACCGAAAACAAAATTTTGAAAAGTTTTAGAAATTGTTGAAAACAGAAAAAAAAAATGATGTTTTAAATTTTTTGAAAACAATTTGGTACTGTTACCAAACGAGTACTCTCTACAAAACTTATAATTAAACTGCTACAGTGATATTACAAATAATATATTAATAAAATAATATTTTTATTATATTAATAAATATTATTATATTTATTATTAAATAATATATTATTATTATTATTAACAAATGGAATCTAAAAATTTAACCATTTTCTTTTACATATATTTTTTTTCACATTTTAAAAATAAAAACATTTTATCCAAATATATTTTCTAATTCAATTAATTAAAAATAAAAAAAAATTAAATTAAATTATTCAAAAATATAAAACATAAAACATAAAAAACACAACAATACCAAACCACCATTTACTTATTTTATTCACGATAAAATAAAATTCAAAATCATAATAGGTACAAGTCTCTGTAGCACGTAGTAAATAAAATAAATACAGTTTATGATTGACATTTTTTTTAATAAACAGACCCTCACTAGTCAATTTATAAAAAAGAAAATAAAAGTGGGAAATTTTTAAAGTTATTTCCTTGAATTATTTGTCCCTAAAATGTGCAGCCGTCAATGGGACCCACGCCCATTGCTCTCACCTTTAGGTTTTTAGGCATCGTACATTGTACTACTTTTTTTTTCTTTTTTTTTTTAATTTAGAAAATGTCTTTGTATGACTAAAATATTTATGTTCGTGATTAATTAATTATTAAGATGAGAAACTTACAACCATACTTAAATAAATTATTGCAATTTTTATATAACATTTGTTTTATTAAAATTATACGACATTTATACAGATAAGACAATAAATTGGAGGTTACAACCTAAATATACCAATAGGGACAAAAGAAAAAGCATATACCAATGAGGAGTTGAGGTGAGATCATCATCCATTAATCTCTTATCATCTACAGTTTTTAAATACTAGGTTTTAACTATGAAAAAAAAAAAAGGAAAAGCAAAAAGGTGGTTGCCAAAAAGTAGATTTAAGCCATTATAATAACTTTATAATGTGTTTTATGAAGTTAGATTAAATTTTATAACTTGTTTATTATTACTGATAAAGCTTTTGAATGTCTAGTTCAAAGAAAGCTGATTGAAAGTTTAGTAAAAGGGAATCTAGATATACAATAAAAAAAACCAATCAAAGGACGTCGAAATTGATTTTTTAAGATGCGTTCCGACATATAAGATATTTAAAGTGTTTAAGGATTTAATGATAAAAGTAAGCAAAAAGATAAAGAAAGTTTCAAACGTAAAGATTCTTAGTTTATACGTATCTAAACCTTATTTTTATTTTATAAATGAAATGAAAGGTAATTACATGATTGAGATAATTAATAACTGATGATAAATCTACATAAAACTTGAAGATGAGTAATGTGGGTGACTATAAATTACATTTAATGATTATAAATAAATGTGAGTTGCATTTAATAATTTTAGGTAAGTTAAAGATAAAATATACAATTTTAAAATGATACTTTGATAAGACGGCAATAAAAATATTAAAAAATCTCATCTGATGAGGGATGAGTCAATTCTATAATAATATATCCGAACATTGATCCTTATTAATGGTGACGTGACAATTAAATATGTGTTAACTAGATAATCAAAAGACTCGATCTTATTAATTGAGTAAATAGATATAACAATTGTAATAATCTTTTAGCTTCAACCAATTGATACAATGATTTTTACTAAAAATTTCTTTCTTTTTATTTTCTTTCCTTGGCCCTTCTAACTTCCTACCATTTTTTTAATTAAAAAAAAAAGGCAAGGACGAAGTTGTTAGATATCAAATTTGAAGAAAACTGTTATAACTAACGCTATTGTTTCATCTTGGCTTTTGTGTACTATAATAAAAAATATATATTTTGTTTGATACAAAAGTTTATTTTTTTATTTTTTTAATTTTCACTAATTTTACTCTTATAATTAATTTTTAATGCCTTTTCTTTCATCATCATTATTTATTTTTTTTATTTATTTTCATAATTTGATGTTAAAATAAAAATTTTCGTTAAATTAAATCACTAGTGGACTGTTTTAATTTTACATGACTTTTTAAAATTGATTGAAAATATCTATCCAATTTATTAAAATTGTTCTCATTTAGGATTTTGATACATAATTTTGTGTCAATTAAGATTTGGCATAAAATATGATTTAGATAATAATTGAGATTTTTAATTATATAATTTGGGATTACTTTTGACTTTTAACATATGTTTTTGAGTTAATTGATCTATTTTATTCTTTTAGAGATTGTTTAGATGTTTAATTAATTTTAATTGGGATATTTGAGACCTTAATTATTTTTCACGGGATTCATTTAAGATTATGACTAATGTTTTTTTTTTTTTTGTCAATTGAACTATAACTATGTTTAATGAGTTTAATTTAAATCTTCAAGTTATTAATTAAAAGATTTGGTGAAAATGTTTAATGAGGTTAATTTAGATTTTTAAGCCAATAAATAGGTAAAGTTGCTACTTAAAACATGAAAAGAAGTATTGAAGCAAAATGTAATATTGACTTCTCAACCATTTTTTATGCTTGTTGCTTTTAGCATTAGTTGATCAATAATCAATGCTACATTTTATTATTTTTATTATATATCCATGTTTAGAAGAAGTTAAATTTTCTATTAAAAATAATTAAATAAAATTAAAATTAAAAATTAAAATCAATAAATTAAAAAATTTTGTTATATAAATTAAGTGTATAAAATTTAAAAATATTTTAATAAATTTTGATATAAATTTTTAAATAAATATTTTTAATAAAAAATATTAATTTAATATTTATCATTAAATAAATATCAATCAAATTTAAATTATAAATAATATTTTTAATAAATTTTTTACATATTATTAATCTTTACATAAATTTTATCAATCTTTTAATTTGAGTTTTTTATTAAAATTTTTATTAAATTATTTTTAAAATAATTTTATAAATTTCACTTAAAAATTTTATGTAAGTTTTGTCTTAGCTTTTTACCTATTTATCGTATTCTATATTTTTTTTATAAGCTACGGTTTTAATATAAATACGTTAGAAATTTCTCCGTCCTGCGGCTTTTCTTTTTCTAAAAGCTTAAAACCCTTTCTGCGTAATCGTGTATTTCTCTTTCAACCTTTCTTTTCAGGGTTCATTTGTGAAATCTAGTTAGGGAACTGAGAAAACGCACAGAAAAAGTCAAAAAGCCAAAAAGCCGAAAAAGGAATAGTAGTTGTTAACTACTACCTAATATATATATATATATATATATATATATATATATATAGTACTACCGAAAGCCTAAACGAGAGAGAGAGAGAGAGACTGAGTGAGTGAGTGGTAAGTTAAGTCGTTTGTTTGGTTTTGATCAGCGGGGATATGGATAAACTGTTGAACTTGAAGGAATTTGAAGTTGAGCCGAAAAACTCGTCGGAGGCGGCTTTACGGCGGTGGAGAAAGCTTGTCACTATTGTTAGGAATCCACGCCGGCGGTTTCGTTTTATCGCTAATCTTGAAAAACGATCCGAAGCCGAAAAGCAAAAGCTCAAAATCAAGGTTTTCATCTAACTTTCCCATGATTATTTATTTTTTATAAAATTTTCCTTATTATCATTTCCTTTTTTTCTTCTAATTTTCCATTGGACGTAGAAGTGCACAATGACACGGATAATGGAATAATTTCATTTTTAAAAAATTTTAATCAATTTTTGGAGACAAAATAAATGAGAACCATCCATTGGAATTTGACTGAAATATAATCTTGTAGTTTTGCGAGATTGTCCCCTTGTGTTTTTGCCCAATCGTAGTTAAACTTTATCCTTGATCTTCTGAGGAACCAAAGGGACGGCTGGGATTTTTCACTTGTTTTTCTCGGCAGCTAATATTATCTTTGTTAAATTCGATTTAACAGTTTCATCACAGCTTAGCTAATCTAATTTCATTTTTAATTTTCTTTGTTTTTGTAAAAGAGGATTGCTTTCCGTTGCATAGTCTAAGATTTCATTTACTAAAAAAGAAAAATTAAAGAATGTGTAATAGTGGAGGTGATATTTACAGAAAGATTTTTTGTAATTTATTTATTATTTTGTCTTGAATTTAGTGACAATTATACTTGGAATAAAAAATTTTCTAAAAATAGAATTTTTTAAGCTAATTTTTACAAGTGATGGACCTGGAAGAAACATTTACATGCTTGAAGGCTTATTCTTTATTTTAAACTTCGTACTTGTAAGCGGTTATGATTGGTGTATTGAAAAGTAATTGACAAAATAGGTGTGAGAGAATTCAGACCCAACAGATTGGGTTGCTGTTTTAATAAAATTTTGGTGGTATTAAATATATTAAGGGCACCTTCAGTTCATTTTTCTTAAAGCTCTATCTGATGGGTTTTGTTTTTTAATATTTTTTTATTCTAGGTTGGGACGTAGACCCAGGGTTTGAATTTAATATATCGCTTTTAAGCAATACTACTAATTAAATGTACCTCTTTGACTGTGGATACCAATAATAGATATAACACGAAACTTCCTTGAAGTTTCCTAATCGTATCAAGTAATATAAAAATGCGCGTGGACCCCAAGTATATTGTTTGTATTAAATACGGCTAGAAAAAGCTATGGGAAACCCTTTTTTCTCCATAGCTTTTTCTAGGATAACTATGGCTTTTAATTTGGGTTAACATGTAAAATGCCCCCTCTACTATTTTTTTTTGTTAGTTTGGTATTTAAAAAAAATAAAATTTTCGTTTTGATACTCCAACTTTTTTATTATCAAGCATTTTGATAATTATCATCGCATCAACTATTATCACGTCAACAAAAAAATTATTTTTTTCTTTCTTTGATTCTTTGCTTTTCTTTTTTTTTTTTAAAAATTTATTTTTAACTAAAAAATATATTTTTAAAAAACTTTTAAATTTTTTATTTAAATGTTGACTTGAAAAATAGATGATAGAACAATGACTGGACATATATGTTACATGTCATGATTTTGTTAGGTATTAATATTAAAGAAGCAAGTTAACTAACAGTATTAAACCAGAATATCAAAGTGCTTTAACATAATGAAAATTTGGATACTAAAGTGAAAATTTTATTTTTAAAATACTAAACTAGCATATAATTTATAATAGAGGACCATTTTTATTTTTAACCCTTTTAATTTTGTCTTTTGCTATGCAAGAATCATGACCCTCACATAATGTTTGCCCCACTTCACTGTTCTTATCCATGATGATATGAATACCAATTCCTTGGCCAAGTGGCTAGTCTTCTTTTTGTTTTTAAAATTAATAATGGTGCTCCGATGCTCTTTTGTTGCCTTCTAAGCTTTGAACTGTTGTGGCTGTTAAAGACATGTCTTCTAGGTTCACCTGCCTGCAGTAGATAACTTTATGATCAAATCAAATCTCCATTATTTATTATCATATATTTAATTATTGCATGTTATTCAAGCTTGGGATTAGTAATCTGATAAAGTAATGTCACGTCAACCTGATGTTTGATTTATTTGAAGTCTTTTCAAGCATGAAGAGAATGATTTTAATGGTGGCAAATGTTTTCAAATTCTGATAAAAGGAATATTTAATGAAAATGCCACAAATGTGTCAAAGTCAACTAAAGCATTCTTTTTAAAAGCTTTTCTTGCACTGAGAAAGCACTTCTGAATTCTGATAGTGCTATAGCTTCATGTTAATGAGGTGCAGTCCTAATCAAATGTCCAGGACAAATTTCTTGTAGAATAAGCTCTATAATTCCTTTTTCTTATTACCTGAAGTAAAAATTTCTTGCTACAAAGATACGAAGGAAATTGATATAGACATGGATATGGCTGATGAAATGAATCCCGGTAAGAATACCTTATTCTTATCAGAACATATTTGTACAGGCTCAAATGCAGTCTATTATCAGTGTTTTATCTTTTTGAATAGGACAAGTTTCCTCTTAAGCATCTAAATCATTTGCTTTTAGCTATCAGTTTATATACTATAATCATTCACGAAAATTTGGAAGCATTGGAAACAATATAATTTTAATAAAAAAGGGCAAATCCCGATGCACAATGCTCCCATCAGTGTTTATGAAATAATATAATTTTACTAATGAGATTATTTCTTTTTCTCAAAATTTCTAATGAGATATCGGAACATCACACTTTGTTTTTTGTTTCGGAGATCAGTTACCAGTCACCATCTTAAATGCCAATGATAACACAACCGTTTGTGTCCTCTCAAAATGTTTACTGAGGAGCATGAAGAACGGCAAATTATGGCTCATTAGCCTGCCTTACATACAAAAAGAAGTGTCTTTAAACTGCATTTGGTTTTTAAAAGTTCTGCCACAACACCAAGTATTATTGTTGCTATCAATTTTTACTATTATTGTTGTAAAGTACTCCTTTGACCTTATAATATTTTTATCTGTTCATGGTCCCCCCCCCCTCTCTAAAAATCAGGAGAAAATTCGAGTTGCTCTTCTTGTTCAGAAAGCAGCATTGCAGTTTATGGATGGTATGATATGCAGTTTTGTAGTTCTAAAAAAGCTTATATGATAATACCCTTGTATATGTTTTCTGTCCTCTCCTGTATTACTTATCCTGTGATCATATTCAGCTGCTGGTCCACTTGATTACAAGCTTACCAATGAGGTTAGAGAAGCAAACTTTGAAATTGAACCAGATGAACTTAATTCTATTGTTCATGGCCATGATATTAAGCGCTTAAAGTTGCATGGTGGAGTTGAAGGGATTGCTAGGAAAGTCACTGTCTCCCTCGATGAAGGTGTGCGCTCGGACAACGTATCTACCAGGCAAAAGATATATGGCTTCAACCGTTACACAGAGAAACCTCCAAAAACTTTTTGGATGTTTGTGTGGGATGCACTCCAAGACTTGACCCTTATTATCCTTATGATTTGTGCTGTGATATCTATAGGTGTAGGACTTGCCACAGAGGGGTGGCCAAAGGGCATGTATGATGGAGCAGGAATTATACTTAGTATAATCTTGGTAGTATTAGTTACTTCTATTAGTGACTACAGACAGTTCTTGCAATTCAGAGATCTTGACAGGGAGAAAAAAAAGATTTCTGTTCAAGTTACAAGACACGGTCGTAGGCAGCAAATTTCTATATATGACTTGGTTGTTGGGGATATTGTTCATTTAGGTATTGGGGACCAAGTTCCAGCTGATGGGCTGTTCATATCAGGATACAGCTTGCAGATTGATGAGTCCAGTTTGACGGGGGAGATTGACCCAGTGGACATTTACGAACAAAATCCTTTTCTTCTTTCAGGAACCAAAGTTAGAGATGGGTCAGCAAAGATGTTGGTTACAGCGGTTGGTATGAGGACAGAATGGGGGAAGTTGATGGAAACTCTGAATGAGGCAGGAGAAGATGAGACCCCACTTCAGGTGAAATTGAATGGTGTTGCTACAATTATTGGTAAAATTGGCTTGGCTTTTGCAGTGCTCACATTTGTGGTTTTAACAGTGAGGTTTCTCATCGAGAAAGCACTCAAAAATGAGTTCACAAATTGGTCTTCAACGGATGCTTTGACGCTTCTAAACTACTTTGCAATTGCAGTAACTATAATAGTTGTTGCTATTCCCGAAGGATTACCATTGGCAGTGACACTGAGCTTGGCCTTTGCAATGAAACAATTAATGGATGAAAGGGCATTGGTAAGGCATCTCTCTGCATGTGAGACAATGGGTTCTGCAAGTTGCATATGTACGGATAAGACAGGGACTCTAACCACAAACTATATGGTAGTTAATAAGATATGGATATGTGAGAAAATTAAAGACATTGGTGGTAATGAGAGCAAAATCCTTGATGAGCTGGAGATATCTGAAAGACTTTTTAGCATTTTTCTGCGTGCTATATTTCTAAATAGTAGTGCTGAAGTGGTGAGGGATGAACAGGGAAGCAAATCTCTTTTGGGAACACCGACAGAAACAGCACTGTTGGAATTTGGGCTTCTTTTGGGTGGGGATCATGATGCCCAACGACGACAGATTAAAATACTCAAGGTTGAGCCTTTCAATTCCAACAGGAAGAAGATGTCTGTGTTGGTGGCTTTTCCTGAAGGTGGCATTCAAGCTTTTTGTAAAGGTGCACCAGAAATAGTATTACGAATGTGTGACAAAGTTGTTGATTACAGTGGAGAACTAGTTATTTTATCTGAAGAACGAGTAAGAAATATCATGGATGTCATAAATGGCTTTGCCTCCGAAGCTCTAAGGACTCTATGCCTGGCTGTTAGAGATGTAGATGAAACTTGTCGTGAGAATAGCATACCTGATAGTGGCTATGCCTTTATAGCAGTTGTTGGGATCAAGGATCCTGTACGTCCTGGAGTCAAGGAAGCAGTTGAAACCTTTTTAGCTGCAGGAATTACTGTACGTATGGTCACTGGTGATAATATTAATACAGCAAAAGCAATAGCTAAAGAATGCGGCATACTAACAGCAGACGGGAAAGCCATAGAAGGACCAGAATTTAGTAGTGAGCCTCTTGATGAGATGAGGGACATTATACCAAAAATTCAGGTTCTAAGTGACCACATAAAAACTTTGACATTGAATTTATGCTTTGGAAGGTGTACATTTTCTTGAACACTGTTGTGGATTTCAGGTAATGGCACGGTCAAAGCCTTCAGATAAGCTCAACTTCGTAACCAATTTGAGAAATATGTTTGGAGATGTTGTTGCAGTGACTGGCGATGGGACCAATGATGCTCCAGCTTTGCGTCAGTCAGACATTGGACTTGCTATGGGGATAGCTGGAACAGAGGTTTGTGTGCTGCACAGTTTTATTTAGTGGTGATGATTCTAACAAGCTTGAACATATTTATCTTCTTGTCTTCTCTCACGTCTTTTCATTCTATTTGCCATCCTATGTGATGTTAATTTATTGTTTATTCTCTTAATGTTTTCATTGGAAATCATCTCTCTAGGAACAATTTTTTTTTCTTTTCTGGTATTTGATTGACTTCAGCACTTGAAACACTGGATTTATTCTATGAAATAGACTATCGTACAGGATTTTGTTTCTTTTTTAAGTCATGTTTAAAACCCCTATTATCTCCTTTTCTTGACTTCCCCGAATTTGTTCATCCATTAGGAAAGGAAAACACAAGTTTTTTTCCAGTGGCAACGAAATGTGAATTTTATTGGCTCCTCGAATGAGGTTCTTCAATATCTTGATTCCAACTTCCATTTTCTAAAGGATACTAGGTGAAGTTTTCAAGCTTTAGATTTTCTCCATTCCTCTTTTTAATTAGATACTTCTCCCTTATTTTGGAAGAATGGACTGTATGGTTGTAAATGACTCTTCTTATCCAAAGAGATTTTGGGAATCATTGCTATCTTGCTGCTTCTAATGATTTTTTTTTGGTATCATTTGAACTTATTCTCTCAGTTTCTTTGTTCTGAACATGCTTATGTTTTGATAAAGCCATGTTCTTAACATTCTTATTTTTCTCCCCGACATGCTTTAATCTTCTTTAGGAAGAAAGAGCTGTATAATTTTGTAAATGGTCCATTTTTTTTTTGTAGAGATCTTTGGGTAATTGCTGCTTCTGATGAGTTTCTTGGATTGATTTAAACTTATTTTCTTAATTTATGAGAATCTGCAATTGCCAGCAAATAGCTTTTCTTTATGCAAGTAAATGCAATCAAGTTTTTTCGTATATTACATGAAATAATTACGAATTGTCAGCATAGTCGCCTGCAAATGCATCTAGTTGTTGAGGTCATTCATAATGGATCATCATTTATGTTGTTTGTTACAGGCTGTTAACTGGTCTAACTCTTTCCTGTTTATGAAGATATCTGCTATCAGACCATGATATTTTTGTGGTTTGGGCTGACCTTGTTGCTATATCAAGCTTGTTCACATTCTTCTCATTCTGCTACAATTTTCATGTTGTTAATACCTTGATTGTACAGGTTGCCAAAGAAAATGCCGATGTCATTGTAATGGATGATAATTTTGCTACTATTTTGAATGTAGCCAAATGGGGACGCGCAGTATACATTAACATCCAAAAGTTTGTGCAGTTCCAGTTAACAGTTAATGTTGTTGCTCTTGTAATCAATTTTGTTTCTGCATGCATCTCAGGTGTGTTGTTCTTTGAAGCTAGCTTTTTTCAGACATGTATTGTAGTTGTACTTGTGATGATTAGACATCATGATTGTCATTATCCGGCTTCTGCACAACTTTCAGGATCTGTCCCCCTCACAGCTGTACAGTTGCTTTGGGTTAATATGATCATGGACACTCTTGGGGCATTGGCACTAGCTACAGAACCTCCTAATGATGCATTAATGAAAAGGCCCCCAGTTCCAAGGGTTGCAAATTTTATCACCAAACCAATATGGAGAAATATCATTGGTCAAAGTATATATCAACTAATTGTCCTTGGTGTTCTAAATTTTGATGGGAAGCAGCTTCTAAGGCTTACAGGTTCAGATGCCACGAGTGTTCTGAATACTGTGATATTCAATTCATTTGTGTTTTGCCAGGTATGATTTTTCTGATTTAACTAATTGCCATTGTAAGACTCTTCTTTGGCAATCCTTTTTATGCCTAAGTTCAGATGGATAATCTACAGCGTCACAAACAGTCTATCTTTATCAATTAGGTATTACAATCATTTGATCTTCCCATCCTTCTAACATTTCCAAGAAATGTCTACTTAGAACTATGCTAATTTAGGAGCTTAGGATTATAAGTGAACTTGCGGATGATTATTAGATGAGAATTGGTTAGAAGAGTTTTAAATAAGATTGTTTAACTACCCAACTGAACATGGACATAAATGGCAGATTTGAATTGTTAGGTCAATAAATCATAGTAAAATTGTCATTGAAAATTATCAGACCATCTGATTATTTAGGGTACCAGTCTTTTTGACAAGTAATTGGAACAAAAACAAACTACACCTAGAACACAACCTAATTGCTATTCATGTTTTGATGTGGAAATATTTGACAAGTCAGAAGCAAATAATATAATGTGAACTTGGTTTATGTTGACATTTTTAATTTTCTTACTTTGCTGTAATGATACTTTGGAGAAGAATAATTGATACCATTTTGTAATTATTGAGCCTTTTTTTTCCTTGGAATTTTCCAGTTGTTTAATGAAATTAATAGCCGTGAAATAGAGAAGATAAACATATTCCAGGGCATGTTTAACAGCCGGATATTTGTAGCCGTCATGGTTTCAACAGTAGCATTCCAAGTGGTCATAGTTGAGTATCTTGGAACTTTTGCCAGCACTGTGCCTCTAAGCTGGCAGCTGTGGGTACTTTGTATCTTAATTGGGTCAGTTAGCTTGATTGTTGCTGTTATTCTCAAGTGCATCCCAGTTGAAAGAGCAGTAGTCGAGCCGAAGCACCATGATGGTTATGATGCACTTCCTAGTGGTCCAGGTCTAGCATGATTATTCGAAAAGTGGACCAAAATTTCATTTCTGAGGCTACTTAAATGTCAATTGATTGTTGGCAGGTTTTGGTTTTTGGGATCGCTACTTTTATTTCATTTTTCTTCATATCATTGGATCTCCGGAGTTAGAATGGTGGATTTTGGAATAGTGCTGAACTTTCAGGCACTCATGATCCTCGTATGGCTTCTGACTTGGGATCAGGATTAAGTTTGTATGTGACAGGAGTATTTTCGAAACATGGCTTACTGCACATAAAAGATCAGCCTGTAATAAATGATCAGCCAAGATTACAGGCTGAAACTACATAGGATGCCAACCACATGAGAAATATAACCCCTTTTATTGGTGTGTTAGAGAAACATGGCAATAAACCGTGCTTCTCTATAGACCAACAAAAAGAAGCTATATTTTATGATGTGGTAGGTAACCAGTGTTGTTTCAGCCTGTGACCTTGGCTGATCTTTATGTTCTATAGCATCATCATGGTCAAGCTTCAAGCAAGTTTTTAGAACACTACTCTTATAGAGCGATACTTTTGTCATTATAATTGAAGGCCTTTCTGAAAGCAAGCTTTGGCTTTTATATATCGCAAACTTGGTATTGGCTATTGAGGGGGCAAAATTATCTAAATCTGTGTTCTTTTCAACCGCATTGTCTTTGTATTGTTGATTTACATTACTGTTGTAATGTGAATGTACAAGGAAATGAAGCGATCCTTTTAGTCCTGCAAAACTGCCAAAAACAGACTTCTATTCTATACAATCATGCCACTTGAGGACTATAAGTAAAGCAAATAAGGTTTGATTAGAGGTTTAAAATTTGAAGTTAAAAAGGGATGGGGTTTGCAAAAGAGATTCAAGTTCCGAACTATAGTACACGGGTTGGCAGTTGATAATCCCCCCTGGCTTAAGATTAAGCCTCAATGGAAATGTGTGAAAGTGTTTCATCATCATTCATAAAAGGGGAAAGCCTAGCTTTTCGACTTTGTATGTTAAGCAGCATAGATGAAGCTAAAAATGGGAAGGTCTCCCAAATAAAATAAGAGAAGAATAGAGCATCTAACACAAGGGAAAAATATGCCTGTTTATGCAATTAAAGCAATGCCATAGGATAAATTAGAAACTCTCTCCCTCAAACGCTCTTTCTCTCTACAAAAATTACTCACCAAGAATCTATCCATTAACTTCACTATGCCTTTCACGGAAACACAATATTCGCAGGTCAACTAAAAAGAAAATTTGTAAATGTGATGAATCATTTATCTAAACCTACGCTTCGCTTCGCCGTAAGCAACAACACCAAGGACAGTCATTGTATAACCAGCAATGCCCACAACTGTGACAGGATTTCTGAACAGAAGTATTGAGATTACAACAGCCACAGCACCTTTTGCATTGCCTAATACCTGATCCCAATATCATCCCAAAAGAAGATGAGAAAATGCAAGAACAGGGTGAAACAACAATTATCCATATTCTTGTAGGAGAAGTACAAAAGAAAAATGTCCAATTGATGACAAGCTTTTAGTTGAGCTTTCAACTATGTAGATATTATATAAGGGAGTGCTTGAGTAAGGCTATAGAATGATGACAGGGTTTCAACTTTCAAGTGTCTGTCACCAACTTGGGATTCCTTTCCAGGTCACTTGTGAATATAAAGGGCTAAGTTATGCTATTCTTTAAGTCCAACCCTCACACTCAATCATTAGTGAAGGTATGATTTTGGATACTAGATCCTGAATATATTCAATTGTGGAAAACTGAGTTCTAACTAGATTTGATTAGGTATCATTCATTTAGTATTTTGGTTATTTCCTAAATAAAAAGGATTTGGTTCATTGATCAAATTCCTACTTAGTAACTTCCATTTATTGTTAGAGGATTTTTAAGTGATTTGTTATTATCTTTAGGATATCATGGGATTTGCCAAATTTGATGTTTTAGCTATATATATACACTTGTATACTGGAAAGTTTCTTAAGAATTCATAAATAAAATTTTCATAAATTTTTTCATGGTATCAGAGCGTTCATCATGAACCATCAAAACCTATATATATATATATATATATACATATATATATATATATATATATATATATATATATATATTTTGCTTTCTATCTTTCTATCTACGCCATGGCTAGTAGCACAGGTGTGTCCAAGCCCCCTATTTTACCTATCACTGATCACAAACTCAATGGACAAAACTTCATCCAATGGTCTCAATCAGTGATGCTATTTGTTTGTGGAAAAGGTAAGGAAGATTATTTCATGGGAATGGTTGTTTCACCTAGTGAGAATGACCCGAAGTATCGAACCTAGAAATTGGAGAATAGCATGGTAATGTTGTGGCTGATCAATTCCATGACCAATGAGATTGGTGAGAATTTCATGTACTACAAAACTGCCAAGGAGATTTGGGATGCTATGAAATAAACCTACTATAACGTAGACAATATATCTAGAACATTCGAGATCAAAAGCACTCTACATGGCGGCAAGGAGACTCCTCTATCATGGAATATTTTAATTCCTTAACTCATTATTGGCAGCAATAGATATTTTTGAAAAAATAGCATAGAAGTGCCTTGACGATAGCTAACAATACAGGAAAATAGTGAGGAAGGACCGAGTTTATAAGTTTTTTCTTGGTCTAAACAAGAGCCTTGATGATGTTCGTGGGAGAAATCTTAGCATCAAGCCATTACCCAACCTTGACAGGTTCAGTCATTATTACAAAAGATATAACACTTGACTCTGCTCTTCATGTCCCTAATTTAGATTGTAACCTTCTGTCTATTAGTAAAATTACGAGAGATAAATTTCTTTCTAACATGTGTGAATTTTAGGGCTTGGATTTGGGTAAGAAGATTGGCAATGCTAAAATGTGTGTTGGACTTTATCTCCTTAGAGATGAAGAATCTGAAAGACAGTCATGGAAGAGTGCTTGTTCGGTTTTAGCTTCTAGTAAGAGTAAAGAAAATACAATCATGTTATAGCACTATTGTTTAGGACATCCAAATCTCTTGTACCTCAAAAAATTGTTCCCTGATTTATTCAATAAAGGTTTCAAGTCTTATCAATGTGAAATTTGTCAGTTTTCCAAACACAATCACAATTCATATCCAAGTCAACCATACAAATCAACTCATCCTTTTTCTATGATCCATAGTGATATTTAGGGACCATCCAGGGCTAATAATATTACAAGCTCTAGATGGTTTGTTACCTTCATTGATGATCACACTAGAGGTACATGCTGTTCCTCATGAAAGACAAGTCAGAGGTTAGTTCAATATTTCAAAATTCCAACGAGATGGTACAAACTCAATTTCAAGCAAAAATTTAGGTGTTCAGAACAAATAATGGGCGAGAATACTATCACTTAGTTCTTGGATCTTACTTGTTAAATCAAGGAATTATTCATCAAAGCTTATATACTGAAACTCCTTAACAAAATGGAGTTGTAAAGCGAAAGAACAGACACATGATGGAAGTTGCAAGATCTATTATACTAGGCTCTCATGTCCCGAAACATTTTTGGGAAGAGGCAATCCTAACAGTAGCCTTTTTTATCAATAGGATGCCTTAACGAGTATTAAAATTCCAAACCCTTTGTCAAATACTTTCAAAACCTATCTTCATGTCCAAATCATTTCCTCCATATTAGTCAAAGTCTTTGAATGTGTTCATATACACAAACAACAACGCAGTAAACTAAACCCCAGATCACTCAGGTGTATATTTCTTGGCTATTCACCTAACCAAAAGGTACAGATGTTATGCTCCAACTACCAGAAAGTTTTACACTTCTATGGATGTCTCTTTCTTTGAGAATCAGCCATTCTATCCCAAAGCCAATATTCAGGGGGAGAGTTCTAGGGAATATCAACTTTGGGAGATTGAGCCATCATTTGATCTTTCCTCTACTTGTTTGCCAATTCAAATTCTGATTTCAAATAATTCTTCTTCTTTTTCCAAGTGAACTAGTCATCTTAAGTCTCCAAAATCTCTTGAAACCATGCAAGAGACAAAAACTAAGGAAATGATTGTAGACTCAAGGAGACCGAATCTCAAAAGGAGATAGGGACCTTTACATCTCCAACATAGAACCAAGATTCTAAACCAAATCTAGGGACTTTTGAAATTCATACAAGTAACACAATTACTGAACCTATCTCTAATGATTTTCCTAGTGATCTTGATCAGCCCATTGCTATAAGAAAAGGTGTGAGATCATGTACTCAACACCCTATTAGTAACTTTGTTTCCTATGAAGGGTTGTTTCCTACTTATTGAGCACTGGTTACATCATTAACTGATGTTCGTATACCAAATACCATTCAAGAAGCGCTCAAACAACCAAAGTGGAAGGCTGCATTAATGGAAGAAATGCAAGCACTAGAAAAGAATGGCACATGGAATATTACTAATCATCTTGGGGGAAAAAGCCCAGTGGGATGTAAGTGGATTTTTACTATCAAACACAATACAAATGGAAATGTGAATAGATTCAAAGCTCGTCTTGTGGCTAAGGGGTTCACTCAGTCTTACAAGATTGATTATGAGGAGACATTTGCTCCTGTAGCAAAACTGAATTCTGTTCGTGTGTTACTATCACTTGCTGCAAACCTAGATTGGCCTCTTCACCAACTCGATATCAAAAATGCATTTCTGAATGGTGATCTAGTGGAAAAGGTCTACATGACGATTCCTCCAGGGTTTGACAACCAAGACAACATCGGCAAGGTGTGTAGGCTTCAGAAATCCAGATATGGCCTAAAACAATCTCCTCGCGCATGGTTTGATCGTTTGACTAAGGCTGTTAAAAAGAATAGGTTCTTACAATGCCAATCTGACCACACTATGTTTGTCAAACATTCACTAAATAGCAAGATTGCTATTATGATTGTTTATGTTAACAACATTGTCCTTGCAGGAGATTATGAAGAGGAAATAGTCAGATTGAAGACCTTTCTAGCTAAAGAGTTTGAAATAAAGGACTTGGGACAACTTCGATATTTTCTTGGCATGGAAGTAGCTCGATCAAGAAATGATATTTCTATTTCACAACAAAAATATGTACTTGATCTTCTAAAAAAGACAAGGATGCTCAAGTGTAAACCAATGGATACTCCGATGGACCCAAATGTCAAGAGGGGAACTGGAGACGAAAGTCCTCTTGCAAACCAAAAGAGATATTAGAGACTTGTGGGAAAATTAATTTATTTGGCACACATTAGACCTAACATTGGCTTCTCTGTAAGTATGGTAAGCAAATTTATGAACAATCCTACAAAGACACATATGGAGGCAGTATATCAGATCTTTCAATACTTGAAAAAAAAATCCAGGCAAAGGGTTGCACTTCAAAAAAACACTAAATAGAGATGTGGAGATTTTCTCAGATGCAGATTGGGCTGGTTTTATGACAGACCAAAGGCCAACTACAGGGTATTGTACATATGTATGGGGCAACTTGGTTATCTGGAAAAGCAAGAAACAAGCAGTGGTAGCTCAAAGTAGTGCTGAAGCAAAATTTAGGGCTATATCTCATGGGATTTGTGAAGAAATTTGGCTCGAGAGAATGCTATAGGAATTGAAGAAGTCAGCTAGGAATTCAATGAAATTGTTTTGTGATAATAAAGCAGCTATTAACATTGCCAAGAACCTTGTTCATCATGATCGAACGAAACATGTAGAGATTGATTGCCACTTCATCAAAGAGAAGATTGAAGAAAGTGCAGTCAAATTGGTCTACACTCCAACAGAACATCAGATAGCCGACATCCTCACCAAGGCTCTTCATTGTGGCAATTTCGAGAATTTGAAGTCCAAGTTGGGTATGATTGATATCTACCACCCAACTTGAGGGGGAGTGTGGAAAACTAATTCCTAACCAAATTTGATTAGGAGTCATTCATTTAGTATTTTGGTTGTTTCTTAAATAAAAGGGATTTGGTTCATTGATCAAATTCCTACTTGATAGTTTTCATTTATTGTTAGAGGATTTTTGGGTGATTTGTTATTATCTTTAGGATGTCATGGGATTTGCCAAATTTGATGTTTTAGCTATATACATACACTTGTACACTAGAAAGTTTCTTAAAAATTCATAAATAAATTCTCATGAATTTCTTCACCGATAAAAGACAATCACCTCCTGAGCAACAAAATGCTTTCCTAAAAGCAAAGCATGCATTTTCTTGGCTAGGTACCTAATCAATGCTTTTTTTAATAAGACTACAAGATGATACATATCAACAAGCTTGTGTAACCTAAAGACTGCAGACAACATTTCAGCAGAGTTAAGCCAATCATCAGGGATGGGTTTATTGTATACAAGTTCATGGATTATAGCCATACTAGTGCTTCTACTTTATGCAACTGATAGAAAGCAGTTAACAACATTGACTTAGAGAGAAATTATTCTTATGAGCTTATCAATTTAATGAGAATGGCCCGATGAATTGACCTGGGACACTGTTTAGTGCTGAAGGTCAACAAGTCCTACGAAAATCCATAGAAATAGACATTAAAAACAAACTAGAGGAAGGCAGAAGATATTGAACCTGGAGTGTTAATGCACTTGTATGCTTAGTCACCAAGAAGTTTGACAAGTTAGCTGAATATGCCAATGTTGAATTAATGAGAAGAAGCAGCCACATGTATTTATGCTGTCTTCCAAGTGATAAGATGACTTCTAACACATTGGGCTCCATTATAAGTGCAGCAGGCAATAAAACTAGAACTGCAATTGGTGACATGTAGAGTAGCAAATTCATCGAGTTCAACTTTTCCCTGCAAGAATGAAACAACTGTAAAAGCAGTTCTGTTACAAGGGAAAGACAAATAGAAATGCTTATAGGAAAAAAGAGCTGGTGGGTGGTGAGGAGAATAGGAAGAAGAAGAAACAATAGATATCCATGACTCACTTTGAAATGACAGAAAAAGCCACTGGCATTTATGTAAGAACAATTAGTTTAGGGATGAATTTTTTCATTTTAAAAGAGGAGGTAATAAAAACAAGTATGTTAGCATCAATCATCACCTACAAAAAATTAAAATAGTAAGAAATGTTTGAGGTCCAAACTTTTTGCTCTGATTAATTGCTTAAGTTGGAAGGCCAAGGTGAAGGGCATGTTAACTGTAAGATTTCTTCTGGATGTCAACAATCACAAGGATTCCTTTTTGGTCTACTTTTGTTTCATTTTCCACTAAATACCAATGAAACAAATGTGATAATCAACAACCAACCATTTCATACGAACTAATTGTGGAAAGTTTTCTTTTCATCTTTATTGTTGGCAATGCCCTCTTTTGTCAGAAATTCACTTAAGGAAAGGTAAAAAAGAAAGGAAATATCTAAATCCTATTCGCCAGGTTTTTCAGCCACTTGTTCTCCCATAGCTCGGCCTTTTAAAACTTTTCCTCTACTTCACCCTTTTTTCCCTGAAAATATCACTGCTATAAGGTAGAATTTAAGTAGGACATAACAAGACAATTCTTTCTCTTTAGTGGATTTCAATGTTAGATGATGATCGTTTGACTACATGGCCTGGCACTAACGGGAATTATAGGCAACTTAACTTTAGTTCACACCTAGGTGACTGGTCCCCCTCATCCACCTTCTGAAAACTCCTCATGCTCGGAGAACAAAAAGGAAAAAGAAACTAAATGCATTGACTTCTGTTGCATCACCATACACCCAACGCAAAGAAATGTGCCAATTGCAGTTGATGAACTAATAGAAATAAAAGTGTTATACCCTTCCGAAGAAAGCAGAATGCCCTGAAGAACAGACTTGAAGGCCCTTGCAGCAGTTGCACTTATGCACATAATGAATCCAAACCAGTGAAAACCTGGTTCACCCTGATCAAATTCAAAGGTTAAAGTTCATCAACCAAATGAGTTTTTAAGGAAAGAAAGAAACAAAGGTTGCCTAGAACTGCAGAAAGGTACTTAGAGCTCTTTGTCTCTTTCCTAGTTAACAAATCGTGAATTGACTGACAGGGTTTTCTAAAGAGTTCGTTTTCCTCCCTTTCTGCAAAATGAATTGGTGACAAGGTATAAACAGACAATTGAACTTATTCATAAACTTGACCAAACACCTGAAAATGGTGTTATGGAATGAAAAAAAGGATAGTGTTTTTAAACTAAAAAGAAAACTTCCTTCTGGTGCAGCCTGCATAGGCCTTGGCTATGCTGGTGAGGCAGAGAAATGTACGACTTTGAGTACAAAACTTGCCTTTCCCTCCAAAAAAACACTGTAGTGGAGTCCAATGTGAACCCTCCTTCTTCCTTTTTTTCCATTTGTAATTTTCATTTGGGGGAGGTTGAATGAGGGAGACAATTGTACTTAAAACAGCTAAAAAAACATGTTGCAACAATAGGTTCTACTAAATCAATGGTCAACTATACGTCAAAGAAGACATTACTGATAAAAAGACTGGAGACCTCCAGCCAGTTTGCTTGTTTTTGGCTTCTCTCTATCTGTTTTCTCTTCTAGAAGTCTCAGACTCTCAAGCCAGTTTGCTTGTATTAGCTATGAATCTCATGCTATACTCAGGATAGGGCTAATCAATGTAGTCAATATCTCTGAGTCATAAATATAGTTTGGTCCTGATTACAGTGCAACTTCAATTACAAAGGAAGTAATTTACACCTTCACAGCACAACTATTGCAGAAAATCACCATGCATATTGAATTACAGTCTAAGTAGCTCAGTGTGGGCCAAATTATACAGTTGAAGGTCTTGGCAATAACTAAATGAGACTGCACATCTAGTGTTTATGACAAGGGACGTAATAAACCATCCTAACTAATAGTGGAATCAATATTCGAGTTTTAAGATACCAGCCATATACCTTATACCTTGCCGACCCAACACCATTTTACTTCAGTTTGTTCAAATTTTCATAGTTTCAAGATACCCCATTCTTTTAGTTGCACTTTGATGCATACTGCATAAGGTTTTTTTTACCAAGACTTACAGACAAAGGGCAGTTCTCGAATACGTCTACCCAGAAGACACCAACACATGTAAATGCTACAAATCTTTGCTGGTTCTGTTGTTTCAACTTCTGAAACTAATTACTCGTCTTAGCATAATATGGAATAATTAGTAAAAAAAAAAGAGCTGGGAGATTTTCCAATAAATTACTGATGTATGCCCATTGTTAACCTCTCACTATTATACCATACACCACTGAAAAATCTGCTTATGATTTATGATAGTTAAAGATCAAGGCATACATTTACAACTAATTATCACAGGCAAATAACATCAATACAGTTCAGATCTATTATCTCTAATCAAGTATTAGATGAAAAAAAAAACTTTCTTCTTTTTATCATCAAAAGATCCAAAAGAGGAGAAAAAGAAACATACCCCACTAGCAATGACAACCCCAGTAACAACAGGAACAAGAGCACCATAAGTAACCCAAGCTTCTCTCTTGAAAGTCATCAAGTAAGCAAACAGGGCAGTGAAAAAGGGTGTGGTAGCACCAACAGCCTGGTTAAAGGACACGGGAAGGTACCTTAAAGAAATATTACCTCCAACAACTGAACCACAAAAGACAACACTTAAAGTTGCAATCTTTAGAAACTGAGGCCTGGATTTGATTGGTTGTAGAGGGACAAGTTTCATGAACACAATGGAGATGTAACTGAGAAAAGCACAAGCTGACATGTGACACATTGTTAAAAAGATTGGGAATTTGAAACCATAGTTTGAAAGTAAGAATTTGTTTAAGAGAAGAACTCCAATGTTTGAGGAGTACCATAGGATTATAAGTGAAGCTATGAAAAGGGGTTGTTTTTTTGATGATGAAGATGATGATGGCTGTTGGGTTGATGACATTTTTGGAGTTTTCAAGCTGGGAAGGGAAAAGGGTTGTATCTGAAGTGGATGAAGAAGATGAAAAAGTAGAAGAAGCTATCATTGGATCTGTCGTTTATGGATTTTTGTTTTTGTTTTTTTTTTTACATTTTTTTTATGGAGCTTGTACTATTTGTTTACTGAAGTGTTATTCATCTTATAATATTTATGTCTTAAACACTTGTTAATATTTATCTTAATTTAAAAATTTTGTTTATAAAAGTGGATGAATTTCATTTTTTTCCTATATTTTAAGAGATTTTGATCGTACTCTTTGTTTGATATCATCAACCATGTTGTTCATCCTTATATATATTGATAGGACCCAACAAAATTTTCATATATATATATTTATATATTATATATTTTCACTTAAATATGTTATAATTTTGATCTTCCCTAAATCAATCATGAAACGATTAATTTTCAATAATTTTTACTATAATTTTATTATTAATTTTTCTTCGTGATTCACGAATAAAAAACTTGCAAAATCAACTGTTAATAAACAATCAACATTGATTAATTATTGATGCAAAATAAAATGAAAAAAAATTCAATATCATAAAAAAAGCCTTAGAAAAAGGAACATGATACGTGGAACGCGGTGAAATGGCGACACGTGGAAAAGTCAATTATTAGAGCAAATGGATAGCATCACCTTGATTTTAAACCGAATTGAGGCTTGTATGCCGCGTGTAATCGGCAGCTACACTTAAGCACTTTCTCTCGGTACCATCACTCGGTGTGACGGGCTTTCTGAACGCTCCGTAGGAAATAGCCACAAATGGAGGAAAAAGGACCGACTGAGATAAATTCAAGCAATTTTGGACCCAGACCCCTTTATTTGGGTTCAGCAAGCCGAAAACAAATTTTTTTGTCCTCTTTAACATGAAAAAAAAGCTTCTCTAAGGCTTACCAAGTGACCAGTACACTGAATCATTGTGCTTGAGAGAAAGAGACAGTGAAGAAGATGGAGACCAAACCCACAGAGATTGGCAGTTCAAAGATGTTTAGAGGGTACAACAAAAGATACAAGCATTTCAGTCCAACCCTCGGCTGTTCCATGACTTTCCATATCTACTTCCCTCCTTCTCCTTCGCCTTCCCACAAATTCCCTGTATGTCCCGTCCCTTTTTCACTCTTTTTCTTTTTCATTCGCAATTTTTATTCTGGGTTTCCTCTAAAGTTTTTTATTTATTCTTTCTTTATGGGGGTTTAATGGTTATGGGCTGATGAGTTGAAGTGAATTTTGTGGGTGGAAAAAAACATGGTTTTATTTTGCTATATCAAAAGTCTTTATTTTGATAAGAGCTGGATTTAGGGGGGGAAAGGTTTGATGATCAAATGAATTTTGTTCTTCGATCTTGAATAACTTGCGTACTAATTTTGCAGTCTTTCAATTTTGCATGCTAATTTTCTTGCTTGGTTACGTTTGGTTTTCCTTGGCTAGAAATGCTGTATTCATTCCTCTGGCGTTGTGCTTATATGCTGATGTTATAGAGTAAAATATAAGAACTCCTGCAAAAGTAACCCTTGTTAATTAGCATGAGTATACCCCTTTGTTATTTTTTGACTTTAATACCCAAATATGCCCTCAACTTACAAAATGAATTTAAGTCTTATTGCTTGCGAATAAGTCTATAATTTTTTATTTTTCTGTAATTATAATCATAAAATTTTAAAATTATATAAATGCTATTTTATATGACCGTTGGCATCAAGGTGACATGCTACTGTAAAATGAAATATATGTGAACTGCTAATGGATGTGTGACATAAAAAATAGTATTTTGGAACAATTTCTTTTTCCATTTTATTTCTTCTTTTCTTCTCTCTATTCCATTGGGGGGGGTCTCTAAAGCTGCAAACTGGGGGTTGGACTAATTGCGACCAGTAACAGCGTCACAATGGTGCCGATGATGACGATGACAGTTGGATGATCATCAATGGCAGGAACTTCTTAGAAGAGAAGCGAGTGAATGGATTTATGACTTCAGGGGATGCATCTATCTCCACAGTGTACATCTCCTCCATCTCTCAAGCACTGGTGCATAAGAGAAGTAGGATCTCTAGAGCAATTCTTAGAAATTAGTCCACCCACTGATTTGCAGCTTTAGGGATCGACCTGATGGAATAGAGAGAAGAAAAGAAGAAATAAAATATAAAAATAGTCCTAAGATGCTATTTTTTATCCCGCATATCCATTACATCATGTCAGCGGTCTACATGTATTTCATTTTACCTGTCAGTGTGCCATGTAGACACTCATATCTAATGGCAGTTGGCATCCAGTTAAGTCAATTGGACTTTTTTATATTTTATGGTTATAATATGAAATTTAAAGTAACTTTCCTTTAGTATTTGTTATCCAACCCATTCAAATAAATCCAAGTAAGCATTGTTTATTGATTACATCTATTAATCAAGAAGGTTTTAATGGAATATAGAATAATCCAGAACTTCAAGGTTCTTGTTGTAATAAAACAAAAGTTATAGCCTTAATCCTATACAATAAAAGATTGAGGTTTTATTTTAATTTTTTATTTTAAACTAATGGGGCATGTGTATTTTTTATCAAACCTCGGGATTTTGTATTTTACCATGATTTTTATTGTGAATCTTTATTTTTTTTATTTAGGCTATGTTGGTATTTTTTCCTTTTTTGTTACTTACTTTTTGTGCATTGGTACAGTATTCTGAGATGTTTGAATCTCTGAGATTCTCAAACCGTATAGTATTTCATTCATCTTTAAGCAGGTACTTTACTGGCTCTCTGGGCTTACTTGCACTGATGACAATTTCATAATCAAGTCAGGAGCACAGCGTGTTGCTTCAGCTGAGGCTGTTGCTCTAGTTGCCCCTGACACATCTCCAAGTAAGTGGTCAGCCCATTTTAGCTAATTGTTAACATGATACTTCAATTGCTGACTGTCTGATTTAAAGATTATTGACTCGATTGTGATCCTGCTCGTCATTTCTCCCCCTTTATTGAGGGATTGTGAGTCAGTTCAACCTAAAGTATCCTGACCCGGCATATTCTTTTGGCTTTTTGTTTATAGTGTCAACAACTACCGTGCAGCTTCATATTAGTTAAACTCCTCTAACCCTTTAACTGGACCAAAAAAAAAAATCCAGCCTTAAATTATGAATATTAAAGCTACAAGATGTTTCCTCAGTTTATCCAATACCATTCAATGTATGCATATTTGTAACCAAAAGGCCTCGTTACTTCCATGATCATGATGTGAGTAGCAGTCATTGTGAATCTACTTGTTTGAGCACTTAGAGTTAGAGAAAACATATTATCTCATTTCTAATGAAAATTCAATTCACCGAGCCTGATTTGCTGAGTTCGATGAGATATTTGATGCTATTTGTTGTCATCATTTTGAAATCTACCTGCCGAGTAGTTACATTGCATGGAATAGTATCAAAATTTTAATCTCTATCACTTTTGGCTCTGTTTATTATTTTTTCTCCTGTGTTTCTTTTTTTCTTTTTCTTTTTTTTTGGACGCAACACAACCGAAGATCTCAATGCAATAAAACTAGTTGGTTTATGTTAAACATCATTTTTGTCCTCGGACCATGTACTGATAGTCACCTGAAACCAGTGATCACTATGATGAAACAGCATAACAATCAATGATAAATATGTATCATTGTTATCACTTTGTAGCACAAAAAAGCATCAACCATAAGTTCTTACTTTCCTATCAATTCATATTAGTTTAAATATGTATTAACTCTCTTTGACCAATGCTTCACCTATTCGGTCTCTATATGTGACTTCTTTTTTTATATCATCTAGAAAGTGGGGGAAGACAAAGGTTGAAAGAAATAAAAAACGAGAATGAACATATTACAATGAAACTACCTGAACTTATAATTATTTGCAGTAGGTAGCATGCTTTAATATCTTTCTGACTGCAACTGCATTAGCCGTTTCTTATTTCTAAACATGTCATGTCTATAAGTTACCTTCTCCAAAATGCCATTTATTTTCTTACCGCAATTGATTAGCTCTTTAACATGTGATGAATATAAATTATCTTCTTCAAAATGCCATTTTATCTACTAAAATGTACAGAGCTGATTTCCCTTTTTTTCCCCTAAATCTATAGGAGGCCTGAATGTGGAAGGAGAGGCAGACAGCTGGGATTTGGTCTAGGTATGTAGCATTTGGATTGTTAAATTTGAATTTCAAGATATCTGCTTTGGTAAATCGTAAACATTTTTTCCCATCAAACTGTTTTTTCTCTCGTAACTTAATTCCAGAGAACTCTTCCTGGAGATAACTTCAGTTTTATGTTACAAGAGGCATGCCTGATATTTCTTTGAGCAGGGAATCCAAAAAGAAAGGAAAGGTTAAATCTATTCTATCTGGAAAATTGTCCCTATAAAGAAATAGGATGGTTAACTTTGCTCTAATTTTATATGACTATAATATATATATATATGTATATGGTGAACCGGGCATGATAGTTCATGAAACTAGATTAGAGCAGATGGCAATGATTATATTGACTGGAAATTTCCATTTTTGTTTCTAAAAATTACCACACCTTTGTGTTTCACTTTCACGGAATTTTTCCATCAACAAATTGAAATTTGAGTGCTTGAGTTTTAATGATGCACAATGCTGGAAGAAATCCTACTTGGATGAAATCCTCGTGAAATATTTCTTGCTGAGCACAAGGTATAGATGCTTATTAATTTCACAGCCAATTTCACATGGTTCATTGAGTTAGGTATACAGGACCATGGCTCTGATTCATCCCCTGGTGATTGGGGATCTAAACCAGGGAAAGAATGCTTCTTTCCAAAGCTTTCGAGTGCAATCCTTGTTATACTTCTCTTTCCTGCCCCTAGCATTGCTACTCTGTGGGAAACACTATTTTCAAATTTCGATGGAGCATTGCTTGATAATTTTCCTACACTGATTCACCTGAATAATTGCATATAGATGTACCAGAAGTAGATCATTCTCTGACTTTCTATCTTTCCCTCGCCCCTCCCCCTCCTTTTTTTTCTTCTCCTTTTCTCCATTTTAAATTTAAATTAGGTGCTCGATTTTATCTTAATGCTACACAAGAGAAGTGGAAGAA